CTACGCGCGGGACGCGGCACGCGCGAGACATCCTCGGAATTCCTGCGAGCGGGACGCGAACACAAGCATTTCGCCTGATACATCCTCTGAATTCTCGTCCCCTACGAGGCCCCCGCTCGAGACATCCCCCAATTTTGCAAAACCAGCGTTTCGCTCGAGACATCCTCAACGAATTATGAAAAAAAAACAAGCGTTTCGCTCGAGAAATCCTGTCGAACCCCCAAGGAATCAAAATTCCTGCGCGCGGGGCGCGGCACGCGCGAGGCATCCTCGGAATTCCTGCGCGAGGAGCGCTTTTTCCGTGTCGCGGTCGGCTCTGCAAAACCAGCGCTTCGCTCGAGACAATCCTCAACAAATTCTGAAACCGAGCGTTTCGCTGGAGACATCCCCAGCTCTGCAAAACCAGCGTTTCGCTCGAGACATCCTCAACGAATTCTGAAAAACAAGCGTTTCGCTCGAGACATCCTCAAACATTACACTACACCCGCGCTCCCAGGGTTGGAAGCGAACAGGGGGCAGCGACTGCAGAAGCCCCTGAAGTGGGGCGGGCAAGGAAACTGGGCAGCGTGACTTACCTTCTTTGCTGGTTCGCGTGGACGTCCGAACGACCTGCGCGTCTCGGGCACCGCGCCGTCTGGAATCGCGCCGTGCTGCGCTTGCACGTTCGGCGACGCTGTGATACTTCTCCGCCGCATGCAATCAGGGCGCCCTCAGGTTGCGGCCATACAAAAGCAATTTCTGCCCGCTTGGCGCCCCAAACCGACCGTACGAACAGGGCGTGTCGCACGGTCTATCGGTGACGGCTTGACCGAGCACGACTCATGCGTCGACTTGCGCCGGCCGTGCAATATTGTTTTGCAATGTAGCCCGATGAATCCAGGCATCGGCCAAATACCGTAAAAGGGCTGAGCCTAAATGGCAACGGAAGGTGTGGAAGGGAGAAAAAGAAAAGGAAATGGAGGAGGAAGTGGGAGAGGATGTAAGGGAATGTAAGGGGGGCGAGGCGGCTGGGGAAGAAGGGGATAAGGGGCGGCGAACACGTATCGGCCACGACTGCGACCCAGGCCCGAGCGCCCGGCCAGGCGCCTGACCCATCGACCACAGGAGTACCCCGACGGAGCTCGGAGCATTGCGTACAACGGCCTTCCTTCGGAGGGCGAGGTTATCGATGGGGGGGCTCACCAATGAGCCATGGCCGAAAACACGTACCGCAATCGTGGGGGGAACCCGCCACCTCTCCAACGGAAACCCCAGGCACTAGAGATTTTGTTGCCCAAGTTCATCGTTGTTGTCATCATGTGAGAACCGGTAGCATTGCATACGCTTTGCGCCTCTTCCGTGCGCTTCCCCCCCTCAGAATATCAGAATTCTGAGACGCCCGCGAGCACATCTTGTCCCCCCTCGAAGATTTCCTTCTACTAGTGCTTCCGAGAATGCCCGAGACGAAGCTGACGGGAGATCTACGCTCTCCCCTCCCCCGTCCTCCTCTTCGCATTTCTCCTGCCCCTCCCTCCTAACTCATTCCCTCTCTTACTAAATCTCCTCTAGTAATTTCCAGGGGACCTCCATTTTCTTCCTCCGCCTCCTCCTCCCCCTCTCTCTCCTCCTCCTCCTCCTCCTCCTCCTCCTCCTCCTCCTCCTCCTCCTCCTCCTCCTCCTCCTCCTCCTCCTCCTCCTCCTCCTCCTCCTCCTCCTCCTCCTCCTCCCACCCTCCTCGTCGGTGTTTCGATCGACTTGAATTGCCTGCATAAAGGAGATCCAGTCGAGGCGCACTTCGGGCGGCCCCCAGAGGCCCGCAGGAGGACTCAGCAATCCCCGTATTTTGGTGCTCGGACCCCCCCAAAAAAAATCGTGCGCAGCAGGGCACGGGGGCGCCAAAGGTCAGCTCGGTACCCCACAGAGGCTCCTGGACTGCCCCCCCAACCCGTGCTCGCCATACCCACATGGACCACCAGGGGGGCCAGGTACACCCGTCAACCTCTACAGGTCGACCACTACACGGGGGGGAGGCAAGCCAAATCTACAGGTAGAGCAAGAACCTGTTTACCCCAAATTGCTTCTACAGGTACAGCCAGTACCTGTAGAAGCCAAACTGCTTCTACAGGTACGACCTGCACCTGTTTACCCCCCTTCCCTTCGAAAAAAACACACACCAAACGAGCGGGGTAAACAGGTGCAGCCTGTACCTGTTTACCCCGAGGGAGTACCTGAAGGGACAACGGCTTCTACAGGTACAGCCTCTACCTGTTTACCCCAAACTGCTTCTACAGGTACAGCCAGTACCTGTAGAAGCCAAATTGCTTCTACAGGTACAGGCTGTACCTGTTTACCCGGACGCAGTACGTTGGCCCACCAGGACTGCCGTAGGGAACACCGCCTAGGTACACAGGTCGGGCGTGTCGAAGGGTCGTGGAGGGAGGGGGGCAGGAGTAGGAGGGGCAGGGCGGACCATCGACAGAAAGGGGGGGGGCGAGGAGGAGAGAGGGAGGGAGGCGAGGCCGGAAGGAAGAATGGAAGGAAGCAAAGGGGCACGCTCTCCCCCCACGCGCAACTACCAGGGGGGCAGGATTTTCCCGCCCTGCCTCGTCGTGGCCCGCCGCTCCCCTGCTCCATTTGGCCCTGTGGCCCCCTGCTCCCTCCCCCCTCCTCCCCCCCGCCCTTTTCGCCCCTCCCCTGGGGTTCGTCCCAACCCCCCCACCCACCCCTCCACTCCCTTCCACCCACCCCTCCACCACCCCCCTCCACCACCCCCTCCACCTCCCCCTCCCCCCCCCCCTCCACCCCCCCGGATGTCCCTCGGAAACTTTCTGGGAGCCCCCAGAGGGCTCGAAGGGGGCCCCAAGAGGGTTCCAAGAGGGCTCCAAAAGGGCTCCAAGAGGGCCCAAACCCAACTCATGATGGTGACGACGACGATGATGATGGAACCTTACACCCACACTGCCCAATCTTGCCAAGGAAAACTACCAGAGCCGCCAAGAGGGCCCACAACGGCCTCAAGAGGCACCCCAACTGGCCCCAAAAAGACCCCAGGAATCGCCAGAGGGAGGCCCGAGAAGCTACCGAAACACTGGGGAGAAGACCAGGGGGGGCGTCCAGGAAGGCCACGATCAATAAGAATGTTGCGGCAACTCTGTGTTTTTTATGTGGAATTCCTCAGCCCGTCGACTCAGGATGGCTCAAACCAATGCGCATGGGGGCGTGGGAGGGAAGCCCGAGGAGCCCAGCGAGGGCCCCAAACGGTTGCAAGGCGGCCGATAACAACCCCAATGCAATCCTGTTTGGCCATGCGTCGCCGATAAACAAGAAGGCCCAAATAGCGACCGAACATCTCGTCTGACCTTCGAGAGGGGGCCAAGTCCACCCAGGCCACAGCCAAGCGGGCCGAAGAGCCAAGACAGCACACGACAGCGCCAAAACGACCCCAAGATTTGTACCCTGTCCAATCTACGGCATGCGACAGCGATGTTGTACAATAGCGCGTGCTGCAGCGCACGGCTGTGGCGCCACATCAGCGAAGTGATACATCCCGCTACGCTTAATGATACTTGAACCTCGTCCACAAAATCCTATATTGGCGCCTCGAAGATGTGTCGCAAGGAACGCGAACATCTATAAGTTGCGTTGGTCGACTGTGTTCCCCAGGGGCGTTCTGCAGTCGCCTTACGAGGCTGCCCGCGGCTCGCTTCCAATCCCAGGGCCACGATCCCCCGTAAATTACGCTACGTCAGCGCTCCCAGGGCCACGATCCCTCGTAAGGGCTCCTGGGCCCTCCTGGGTTTTCCTTGGACCTCTTGGGCCCTCCTGGGCTCTCCTGGAGCCTCCTGGAGCTTCTCCTGGGCCCTCCTTGGGCCCCCTGGTGCCTCTTGGAGCCTCCTGGGTCCTCCTGTGCCCTCCTGGGCTCTCCTGGGCCCCCCTGGGCTTTCCTGGGCTCTCCTGGAACCTCCTGGGCCCTCCTGGGCGAAGTAAAGGTCCGAAAACACAAGGGATTTGCCACATTTCTGCAATTCCGTGCCACCCCTCACGCAGATCGGCGGGGTCAGGGTCCAAAAACATATGGGATTTGCCACATTTCTGGAATTCCGCGCCACCCCTCATGCAGATCGGCGGGGTCAGGGTCCAAAAACACAAAGGATTTGATACATTTCTGGTATTCCGTGCCACACCTCACGCAGATCGGCGGGGTCAGGGTCAAAAAACCAAAGGGATGTGTGCGATTTCCGAATGTATGCAACTTCAAGAATCCAGAACTCCGTTCCCAGCGCCGTTCCGGAGGCCGCGGTACCTCGTTATTTATCGAGCGAACGCGTTGACCTTGTTTTTTATTGTTTAAAGTCGATGTCGGAAAAAATTGGACTTCACCTGTGAAATATCAAGGTTTCCTTAAAGGCAATAAAATTCCAAGAGCACGCTCTGCGTGAGGGGTGGCGAAAAATACCCTTCGTCCTCACAATTGAAACCCGCCGGCCCCCTTCGACCTCGTAATTTATCGCGCAAGAATTCCGCCGGCCCCCTTCAAGTAAAAACCATGGGTAAACCATCTAAAAGAGAACCCTGGGCTCGAGCCCTTTCCGGGAATATCTAAGAAACAGTCCGGGGGCGATTTCTGGAGCCTTTTGGGCCCTCTTGGACATGCCCGGGGTATGCGGTTCGTCCAAAAACCCGCTCGTAGGAGGACAAGCCCGACCGAACGGTAACAGGACCCGCCGCCAGTCCACGCGCTGGCGCCTCCTCCTCCTCCTCCTCCTCCTCCTCCTCCTCCTCCTCCTCCTCCTCTCCTCCTCCTCCTCCTCCCTCCTCCTCCTCCTCCTCCTCCTCCTCCTCCTCCTCCTCCTCCTCCTCCTCCTCCTCCTCCTCCTCCTCCTCCTCCTCCCCCTCCCCCTCCCCCTCCTCCTCCTCCTCCTCCTCCTCCTCCTCCTCCTCCTCCCCCTCCCCCTCCCCCTCCTCCTCCTCCTCGCCTCTGGCCTCGTAGTCTGCGGCTGACCGTCTCCCCCCTGGCGCTCCATCACGCTGTCGCCCGAGGCGATGCCCGGGCACGCCCCGTAGCCCGGGTACTCCACGGCGAGCACGTGGACCTGGGGCAGCGGAGGGCGGGGGTGAAGTCGGGCGCGTCCCTCTACCTCCAGGGGGAATGCTCAAAAGGAGTCATAAAACAATGCGGGGGAATGCTCAAAAGGAGTCATAGAACAATGCGGGGACGGCTTTTCTACCATTCCTGAGCATGTGGAGGATCGTTTGTTGGACAGTTTTCAATTCGTCGAAATCCCCCTGGGGGGGACGACGGGCCCGACCGAAGGCGGGGGCCCTCGAGGAGGGAGCCGACGAGAAAGAGCAGTCCCTCGGCGGCGCTCCGAGGAGGGCGCCACGAGAGGGGGGCGAGCCCTCGCAGAGGAGGCGGCAGGCCCTCTCGCACGCCCTCCCGCCCCGAGTGGCCCCCTCCGGCGTCGGCGGAGGCCGACGGCGCCGAGCTCCTCCTCCTCCTCCTCCTCCTCCTCCTCCTCCTCCTCCTCCCGGGGAGTCCGCGCGGGCCTCGAGCGTTGTACTTCCACGCTTTCGTGGGGGCCCTCCGGGGCGGGCGGTCCCCGCCCGTCTGAGCCTTCCTTGGACGCTTGGAAACGGGCACCAGCACCAACACAGCGGGGGTCCCTGCGCCAGGGAAGAGGGTCCTAGGTTTCGGTAGTGGTGGTGATATTTCGGCCACCTAGGAGCCAAAAGATTACCACCACCACCACGCTCGGGGGCGTCTTCCCTCTGTTGAGGCACACCGCGGAGATTGGTGTTGGTGCTAACCTCTAGGCCTCCGACCTCTGTTTTGTTGTTTTCATTGTTTGTTGTAAATGTTGCCCGTTGTTTTGTTGCATTGTTATGTTTGTTTCGAGGCCGTCCAAGGCTTCTGAGAAGGCCCGTCCCCCCCGGGGCCATCCCCATCTCTGGGCGCGCCGCCGATACTGCCACAGGCGCGGCGAGACGAGGCGAATCCCAAATTCGCCTGCGAGCGCGGCCGCGGGCGGAGCTGGGAGTGGGTGCCAGGGCGCGGCTTTTTCAGTCGAAAGTACGATTGGGGCGCAGACCTAAGGAACCCTAGATAAGGAACGAGGCCCCTGTTTTCCATCAGTTAAACTTCGAGTTACCATCGAAGACCGAAGGAAAACCTAAGGCAAACTGTAAAGCACGTGAGGCACACGGAGCCCCTCCTAAACGAAAAGGGTTCCTTCTGCAGCGCCCCGACTGTAAGCATGTACCTGGTTGTCCGGTGCACGTAACCATCCTCCAGGCGTAACCACAAGTCGCTGCGCAGGGTGTTGCCACTTCTCTCCCCGACGTGGTGTGCGACTGCGCTGAACCACATCATCTATCCATAATTTGCGCGGTCGTTGTGCTTGTGGTAACAGCTTTGCAAGTGCGTTGGTGTTGCTAGTGGCCCCACATAAAGCGTTTCGGCTCCACTTCCTCTGTCATCGCACACAACCGACACCAGAACTCTCCATTGTAGGCACCTGTGTCGTCCGCGCCTCCTCGATCGGGTCCGAGTAGATGGGGTCGGAGGATCGCGCCGCATCGCCGATGCATCGCCGACGTCGGCGACGCATCGGCGACGTCGTCGTGGAGAAAATCGGGCGCCGCATCGAACCGCATCGTCGATGCATCGGCGATGCGGCGCGGTCCTCCTACCCCATCCGCTCCGAACCCATCTGGGAGGCCTAGAATCACATCGTCGGAGACCTGGGGTCATCGTCTCGGCGGTGGACAAACCTCCCTTTAGTAAACCTCCCTGTAATGAAAGCTGCCTAGGACCGAAACCGACGGACCTGGACCCGCGAAACTGACGGCCGCGACGCTCTCTCGCGAACCGAAAACGGCCAATTCCTTACTCGACGGGTCAGGGCGGGAGGTCTATCGGCCTCCGATCGTCCCCCTCTTGGACGCCCCCGAACCAGACGGCAGGGGGGGGGGAGGGGCGAGAAGCGATCCGACATCCAGGAAAACCCGCCGGTCCACACGAGTGTCGTCTTTGGACGCCCGACATGGGTACCGAAAAAATGGGTACAATGCCCAACAGCAAATGTTGTCCCAAACCAACAGCGGCCGCTGTTGGGCAGGCGGAATCCTGTCTCGAATGGACACAGGCCGCGGCGGCGTTGACAGCGAACCCTGTTCAAAATGAACAAGATCCACTGTTGGACATCGTACCCATTCTTTCCGTGCCCATCTCGGGCGTCCAAATCGGAGGCCCGGGGCCCTCATGCCCTCGAGATATCCCGATCCGATTTTGTCCCGATCTTCGCGTCGTTTGACCCCCTCTTGGACGCCCCCGGACCAGACGGCAGGGGGGGGGGGAAGGGGCGAGAAGCGACCCGACATCCAGGAAAACCCGCCGGACCACACGAGTGTCGTCTTTGGACGCCCGACATGGGTACCGAAAAATGGGTACAATGCCCAACAGCAAATGTCGTCCCAAACCAACAGCGGCCGCTGTTGGGCAGGCGGAATCCTGCCTCGAAGGGACACAGGCCGCGGCGGCGTGGACAGCGAGCCCTGTTCAAAATGGACAAGATCCGCTGTTGGACATCGCACTCCAGATTTCGTAATAGAGGGAGGGGGGTCTCATTTCGGGGGGGGTCTCTTCCAGGCTGTCTTGGAGGGCCTGGGGGGGTCTGGGGACGATGTTTTGGAGGGTTCTCCCACGGGGGGGGGGTCTAAAACTTCTCGTCTGGGAGGGTTGAGACCCCCTCCCTTTATTACGAAATCTGGCGTACCCATTCTTTCCGTGCCCATCTCGGGCGTCCGAATCGGAGGCCCGGGGCTCTCGTGCCCCCTCTCCTGCCGCCGCCCCGGCGCCCACATGCCCGGTCTTCGCGTCGTTTGACCCCCTCTTGGACGCCCCCGAACCAGACGGCAGGGGGGGGGAGGGGCGAGAAGCGACCCGACATCCAGGAAAACCCGCCGGTCCACACAAGCGTCGTCGGAGGCCCGGGGCCCTCGTGCCCCCTCTCCTGCCGCCGCCCCCCGGCGCCCACCTGCCCCGTGCATGCCTCGCGGTTCCGTGCGCCCGTGTGTGTGTGTGTGTGTGTGTGTGTGTGTGTGTGTGCGCAAGGTGCTCCGGGAGGCTCCTCGCCGAGAAGACGAGGGCCCACGCCCGAGCGATGCCAAGTCTGCTGGCGACGAGCGAGGGGGGGAAAGTACTCCAGATTTCGTAATAAAAGGGAGGGGGTCTGGACCCTCCAAGACAAGCCATTTCAGACCTCCCCCGTGGTGCAAGGTGCTCCAGGAGGCTCCTCGCCGAGAAGACGAGGGCCCACGCCCGAGCGATGCCAAGTCTGCTGGCGACGAGCGAAGGGGGGGAAAGAACCCCAGATGTCGTAATAAAGAAGAGGGGATCTCAACCCTCCCAGACGAAAGTTTTAGACCCCCCCCCCCGTGGGAGAACCCTCCAAAACATCGTCCCCAGACCCCCCCAGGCCCTCCAGGATAGTCTGGAAGAGACCCCCCCGAAATGAGACCCCCCTCCCTTGATTACGAAATCTGGAATAATCAGGGTGACCCAAAACGGGGTCCAACTGAAAAGGGGTGGTGCAGTAGATTGGGGGCGACTGTACTGCAAACGTGTTGCGCCGGAGAACTGCATTGCACTGTACTGCAAGTGATGCATTGCCCGCGAAAGTACAGCAATGCATGTGCGCCCCGACATGTATTGCACGCCCCAGACGTATGGCAACCCCATAAATCTATTGCACCAGCTATATTGCACCAGCCCCTTGTCGCTGGAGGAGAAGTGGGAGGAGGAGGAGGAGGACAAGCTAGGTGCGCTCGCGTCATATCTGACATCCTACCCCTCCCTCCCACCCCTTACCATGGCGCAGATCCCCTCTCTACTCGCACAGTCGGATGTCGAGCAGGGCAAGGATCCCGAAAGGGTACGCGATGCATTGTAGAGCACGGCATGGCATGGCGTAGAAGAGCACCGCAAAGCGTAGTATCAACCTAGCATTGCACTGCACGCCGTGGCATGGCACGGGAAATGACGCCAACGCTGCAGCGGGAGCACGAGTCAAAACGAGCGGAAGCGCGGAAATGAGGCCAACGCTGCAGCGGAAGCACGATTCGGAACGAGCGGAAGCACGGAAATGAGGCCAGCGATGCAGCGGGAGCACGATTCGGAACGAGCGGGGCCCGAAAATGAGGCCGGCGCCTCAGCGAGAGCAGCATATTGAAAAACAAATGCAGGCGAAAACCCAACTACAGGGAAACCTGTGTAAAAAAACAACACGCGGGGGGGGGTCGGACACTTTCAAACCGTCATCAGGGGAAGAGGGAGAGTAGTATTCATATTGAGTAACTGTGGAGGAGGAGGAGGAGGAGGAGGAGGAGGAGGAGGAGGAGGAGGAGGAGGAGGAGGAGGAGGAGGAGGAGGAGGAGGAGGAGGAGGAGCGAGGAGGAGAAGCAGGGGAAAGAAATTAAGGAGGAGGCCTCGGAGGGCTGGCAGGGCCTCTCAGAGGGCCCGGGGAGGTACATCTTTCGAGGCGGCCGCCGAGGCAACAAAAACGCACGCTTCTGAGCGGTGCCGGGCCCTTTCTGGATAACGGGGGATACGTCGACCCCTATGGACAAAAAATAAAAAATACTAACAAAATGCATTGCCAAAAAAAGTACAAACACCGTCTCTGGACTATGTTTGACCATTTTTGAAGATTCCTCCTGTAGAGGGAGAGGCCCGACTTAACCCTGTCCCAGGACAACAGGGGATACTGATGCGCCTGTTTTCCACCACCACCACCACCAGCAGGAGGTGGAGGAGGACGAAGAGGAGGAGCAGGAGGAGGAGGAGGTGGAGAACGGCTTCAGGATAACACCTAAACAGCCGATAGCAGCAGCAGGAGGTGGTGGAGGAAGGTGGCTGCAGGAGGACCAACGACCGCCATCGGCAGCAGCAGCAGGTGGTGGAGGAGGACGAGGACGAGGAAGAGGAGGAGGAGACCCCCTCCCCCTCCAACTTCTGATGGTGGTGGTGGGAAACAGGCCCATCAGATACGTCGACCCCTATCCCAGGTCTCGCGGGGTCCTCGGGCGGACCAGACATGCAAGGCCCAAGCCCGGGTATATACGTCGGGGGTGCGCCCATCCTCGGTAGGGGTGCGTCCGCATGGCCCCCTTGGGGCATCTCCCAGGGGTTCCCCCATTTTTTCTCGGGAGCGGCCAGGAGGGGGGTGCCCAAGAGGGGGGGGCGCAAATCATGACCAGCGGCACGTGCGCGGCCCAGCGCGGGGTGCCAGGGACGTGATGAAATAAGAAGAGGCGCCATGAAATCTGGGAAATGTCATGGCCCCCGCCATGATATCCACCCCCCCCTAGTCATCACCCCCCTCTTTGCCGCCCCCGAGATGTGTCAGAGCGGCCAAACTGTTCGGGCGGAGCTCCGGGACTGGGGGAGATTAGACGCCCCCGAGCCAGACGAAGGGGGGAGCCGGGAGGCGCGGCGGGGGCGGGGCGCCGAACGCGCGCCAAGCGTGAGAAGCACCAAGGAGCATCCCACAACCATCTGGCGATGGGGGCCTGAGTCAGGAGGGGCCACAGGCTTCCGGGATAGGGGATCCTCTCTGCAGATGTTCGGGAGCCCAAGAGGGGGGGGCAAATCATGACCGGCGGCATGTGCGCAGCCCAGCGGGGGGCCAGGGACGTAATGAAATAAGAAGAGGCGCCATGAAATCTGGGAAATATCATGGTCGCCGCCATGATATCCCCCCCCCTAGTCATCACCCCCCTCTTTGCCGCCCCCGAGATGTGTCAGAGCGAACCGCCCAGATCTGCTGTCCGGGAAGCGAGGCCGTGCCTTCATCGTGCTGTCAAGGTTCGGGACTCTTCTGCCCTCGCCGTCGCTCGGACGTCCATTCCCCGTGCACGTATCGGTTTCGTGCGTGTCTTTGTTTTTGCTCGATGGTCCAGGATGATCCTCGATGGTCCTCGCCGAGAAAAAAAGGCACACGTCCGAGCGATGCCAAGTACCCGGAAGAAGAATAAGCGAAGCCCTCGCTCCCGGAACCCTCTCCCCGGCGCGCGGGGCGCACCAGGGCGGCGCCCGGGGCCGCCGCCCAGGGGGTCCGAGCGCCGATCCAAGAAGCCTGCGCGGAGCGCCACGGGATTACGTTTGTGTCGTGCTGTGGGCAAAATAGAAAGTGGCATACGTCCTTCGTGCTTAGGGGAACACGCAGTGGCATAAACATAAAAACTCGGAGGTCCGCGCGGATTTCTCGGATCGGCGCTGGGCCCCCTGGCGGCGCCTCGGGCGCCACACCCTGGCGCGCTCCGCGCGCCAAGGAGGGGGGGCCAGCGCCGATCCGAGAGATCCGCGCGGACCTCCGAGTTTTTATGTTTATGTCACTTTTTGTTCCCCTACTTATGTTTCTGTCGTTCTGTGCTCCTTCGACTGTTCTCGATAGGCCACGGAGCTATCTCATTGGCTCCAGACGCCAATCGGCGCTGAGATCGGGATTGAGATCAGGTCGGGCATGTCCCCCTTCAGGCGGATTTTGGATGACAACTTTAAAATACCCCAGAAAGGTATACAAAAATGGCCAACAACATAGTCAAACAGTCGTCCACTGACTATGTTTGGACCATTCTTGAATACTCCTCCTGTAGAGGGACAGGCCCGACTTCACATTGGCTCCAGACGCTAATCGGCGCTAAGGTTATGTCGGGCGTGTCCCCCTACAGGTCCGACGAAAAATACACAATACCCCAAACATACAACAAAACATAATCCCCTGTTTGGACTGTGTGTTTGACAAATTTTGGGGTATTTCCCTACCTAGGCTCTGCCTACAAGAGTTCTTACTCTGTAGCTTAAAGGGCCGAGCAGTGCTACGCGCCCCAGGCGGTTCCCCCGGTCCCCTGGGAGCCAAGCAAAGGCAACAGCAAAGGTAAAAGCAAACCGCTCCCTGGGTGCCAAGCAACAGCAAAAGCAAAGGCAAAAGTGGAGGCAAAAGCGAAGGCAAAGCAAAAGCTTAGCGAGGCGAAAGCGAGGCGAAGCAGAGCATAGCATAGCATAGCGCAGCATAGCATAGCGTAGCATAGCATATCATAGCATAGCCTAGCCCAGCATAGCATTGCGCAGCATAGCCTATCATAGCATAGCATAACATAGCAGAGCAGAGCATAGCGCAGCACAGCATCCACTATTGCTGCTGCTCCTACGAATGTTGCTTTCCTAGAGGCTCCAACTCCTAGGTAGGGTCGCACTGTGATAATTTTTATGTTTCGTCGAAAATCCCCCTGTAGGGGGACAGGGACGACTTAACGCTAAGGACGGAATGCGAGAAGGAACGCCAGGTTCCCGTGATCTGCCACCGAGCCAGGCCGCCCAGATCTGCCGTCCCTGCTGCGAAGACCGGGGGGGCCGGAGGGAGGCCCCGTCCTCACAGCGTCACTCATGAGGAGCCCAGGGGCACGCAAACAAAGACACACAGGAATCCCAGGAGTCCCCATGTGTCTTCCCATAGTTTTGGGGTGTTCGTCTTCCCCCGAACTTCCAACAGTTTCCAATCTCCTCCTGGGAATCGACGATTCCTTGTGTCTGTGTGTTTGCTCCTCTCCCGAATCACCAGGGTTCGGGGTTATTCTGTTTCGAAGGAGGAAGAATGCCGTGTACATAGACTTTTGGCGCTCCGCGCGGGCTTCCTGGATCCGCGCTGGACCCCTCTCCCTGGCGGCGCCGAAGGCGCCGCCTGGGGGGGCGAGACCCATCCGCCACCCACCCACATTGCTTTAACGAAGAATCGGCGCCTGCGGCGGGCTCGTTGTATGAACTGTTAAAATTAGAAGCGCCTGCGGTTAGCTTCTTCAGAGCCTAGCATTCTGCAGACGTCCCCGCCGCCCCCACACTCTTATCCGAGACTGCGGGGTGCTACGTGCATCGAGGCGCATCGTCGATGCATCGGCGACGCGGTGCGATCCTCCGACCCTATTTACTTGGATCCCATCTGTCGGCGGTGGACAAACCTCCTTTTAGTAAACCACCCTGTAATAAAAACGGCCTAAGACCGAAACCGACGGACCTGGACCCGCAAAAATGACGGCCGCGACGTCCTCTCGCGAACCGAAAACGGACAATTTGCTAATCGATGTGTCATGGTAGGAAGTCGATCAACCTCCGAATCTACGAGGCCCGGATCCATTCACGCCCAAGCGCGGATCCAAGAAATCCGCGCGAAGCGCCAAACTATTACGTTATAATGTCGTTGTTTCTTCGACTGCTCGAGGACCCACGGTGCCAGGGACCGCGACGATCGGCAACACGAGAAACAAGTAAGAGAGCACTGATGCGAAGACAGGGACCTAAGTGAGGCCATGTCTTCATCGTGCTATCTTTTTGAAACAAAACAAGAACAGCCACATGAACATAAACTTTTGGCGCTCCGCGCGGATGTCTTGGATTCGCGCTGGGCGGCGCTGGAGGCGGATCCAGGAAGTCCGCTCGCAGCGCCAAAAGTTTATGTTTTTGTGTGTGTGTGTTTTTCTTCTTCGATTACAGTGCGTGCGCGGTCGCAAGAAACCCTCGCAAGAAACACAACCCTGAAAACCCGCGCGCGGGGTGCACCCGATGAAAAGCCTGGAGCACCGGGAACGCAGCAGCTCCTCCAGCGGCCGCGGGAAGCCACCTCGTAGAGCGCGGAGCGAAGAAACCAAGGATACCCTGACGAAAAACATGTTCTTGATGCGCGCCCCCACTGTATTTGAGCAGGGGCCGACCGTCCGACATTCCCATAGTCCTACCACGAAATGTTCTCAGAACCCAAAAATGCTTTCATAGCAGAAAACAGTGTTCTTAGAACATAAACCCGATGTGATACAACAAGGCAGTCCCAACCAGAAATGTTCTGAGAACGTTGCGTGGGCACCACAAAAAGGTCCTCAGAACATGGTTTGGTAGGGCTATGGGCGCGCCAGGACGCTTCGCCACTGCTTGATGTATTACGGCTCGAGGATATTCTGTTCTCCGAGGGTCGGGAGCGGCCAAGAGGGGGGTGTCCAAGAGGGGGGGGTGCAAATCATGACCGGCGGCATGTGCGCGGCCCAGCGGGGGGGCCTGGGACGTAATGAAATAAGAAGAGGCGCCATGAAATCTGAGGAAACATCATGGCCCGCGCCATGAAATCCACGTCCCCCTAGTCATCACCCCCCTCTTTTCCGCTCCCGAGAGGGCCCACGCAGCCGAACTGCTGCGTCGAACGTCAGTCGATTTGGGTCGACCCTGAGTCGAACCTGAGTCGAACCTGAGTCGAACTTGAGTCGAACCTGAGTCGAACCTGAGTCGAACCTGAGTCGAACTGGGGTCGAACAGATCCATGAGGTGGGCTCCAGGAAGGTCCCCGAAACGAGCATCGAAATATTCCGCTCTACGAGGGCCCACGCAGCCTGGAACTGCTGGCGCAGGTAGAGGAGGAGGGGGAGGAGGAGGACGAGGGGGAGGGGGAGGAGGAGGAGGAGGAGGAGGAGGAGGAGGAGGAGGAGGAGGAGGAGGAGGAGGAGGAGGAGGAGGAGGGCTCGAGGATATTCTGTTCTCCGAGGGCCCACGCAGCCTGGAACTGCTGGCGCAGGTAGCGGCAGAAGCCGCGGCAGCGGCCCAGGTCCTGGCCGGGCGGGGGCGCGGCGCCCTCGCCGCCGCTCGGCCGGCCGGGCCCCGTGCACACCTCGGGGGGCGGCCAAGAGTTGAGTCGAGCGTGTCCCTTCTGCAGGGGGATTTTCGAGGAAAAATGAAGAAATACTCAAAACCATACCCCCAAATTGTCAAAAAAATACACCAGAAATAGTCCTCAGGCTATTGTTCTACATTTTTGAATATTCCTCCTGTAGAGGGACGAGCCCGACTTAAGCCAAGAGGGGGGCGTCCAAGAGGGCGGAGTGCAAATCATGGCCGGCGACATGTGCGCGTCTCAGGCGGGGGCCAGGGACGCAATGAGATTAGAGGAGGCCGCCGTGAAATCTGGGGAAACATCATGGCCTCCGCCATGATATCCACACACACACACACCCTAGTCATCCCCCCCCTCTTTGCCGCCCCCGTGCACATCTCGGTGGCGGGGCGAACATGTCTGTCTGCCAGGTGACCCAGAGGGTGCTCCTCGATGGCCCTCTCGCCGAGAAAAGATATGCAGCAAGTGCCGAGCGCTGCAAAGCACCCCGAGGCTGCCCTGTGCACGATCGTTGGGGTGCATCGGTATCGTTGAACCGATCCCGATCCCCATCCCCATCCCCTTCGAGACCCCACCAAATCACCACCCCAGTCGGGGATACACCCCTCGAAACCCGAAGGGAGCGACCTATATTCCCCATCTAGGGGGGCCATTCGGCCACTGGGGCCCAGACCACGCCGCTAGGGATGGGGATCGGTGAAACGATACTCAACTTCGTGGTCTGGCGCCCACTCGCCAGCGGCACGGAACCGCAGTCCATGTCGACGTGCCTGGGAAGGCCCCTATGAGGAGGAGGAGGAGGAGGAGGAGGAGGAGTAGGAGGGGAGGAGGAGACGGAGGAGGAGGAGGAGGGGGAGGAGGAGGAGGAGGAGGAGGAGGAGGAGGGGAGGAGGAGGAGAGGAGGAGGAGGAGGAGGGGAAGAATGCAGAAGCGACTCTGCGTCGCAGCGCGGGCAGAGGCGATGCGCACGCGCGCTCCAGTGCAGCCTTGGGCGCGCGGCGAGTCAGCTGACCGGCCGCGGCAGGAGGGGACGGCGGGCAGAGGCGATGCAGGGCGGCACCACCACCGCCAGCGCGAGGAACCAAATATGAAGGGGCCCTGGGACACACAAATAAATACACACAAATAAAAGGATCCCCCATATTTTCCCATACTCTCCGGTTTTCTGTCTTCCCCCACACTTCCCATATTTTCCAATATTTTCGGAGGAATCGACGATTCATTCTGTCTTTGTGTTTCTTTCCCTCCTGAGCGATGAAGGGCGGCACCACCACCGCCAGCGCGAGGAACCAGGAAGGGGCCCGCCAGTGGTGAGGCCCCTTCTCCCCGCTGCAGACATCCCCGATCCCCTGCTCGGGACGGCATCATGGACCCCCTTGCTGAGGGTGGCCCTCCTGGTGCTGGTGGTGCCCCCTCTCCTTCCTCCGATGTTGGGAGGCTGCTGGGAGTTCTTCATGGGAGCCAGGCTACTGACCCCGATTCAAGGGGGCAGCTAAAACCAATGTCAAGCTGCGTTTAAGCTGGATTATTCTGCAAAGTACGGTATCAACCAAGATTAGACCTGGCTTCGACCACGGTAATCTCATCGCCGATGCTGCATTGAACATCCGAAGCGTTGCATCATGAGTCTCGGCACGACCAGTCGGCAGAGGCAGCCGGGATGGGGCCGGGACGGGCGGGGTCGGAGAGGGCTGCATCGCCCTCCGATGCACCGGCGAGCTGCAATGGCGACACCGGGATAAGGAAACAGAGGGCTCCGAGTCGCGTCGGCAATGCCTCAGCGATGCGGCGCCATCCTCCGACCCCTTGCTAGCAAATCGTAAGCGGGCCCTGGAGGGGAGGGGTCCTGGAGGGGAGGAGAGCGGACGGTGCGCTTACGGGATGGACGAGGAGGAACATAAAGAGTATGAGGATGAACAAGAAAGGGAATGAAGAGGACGAGGATGAGGAGGAGAGGACGCTCGAGGCAATCATGAATCGTGGCGTAGGTGGGTGCTGGACTAGGGCGACCATATGTATTTATGTAGATGTATAAATGTAGGTGCACATGTATACATATATACATACATGTATGCACATGCGTACATGGTATACTCGGGTGTGTATGTACCTATATTCGCCGGCCCAACGGGCCAGAGGCGCGCTAAGATCTCTCGTAACATCTATACAATATTTCTACTCCCCGCGCGCGGGGCGGCCCCTGGGGGTCCCCGGACCAAAAGTACCCCGGGCGCGGCCCGGGAGACTCCCCCAAGGCTCTCAGGATCGCCCCAAGAGGGCCCCAGGAGGCACCCAACACGGTACAGGAGAGGCCCGAGTCGCCCGAAGATCGCTCCACGACGCTCAAGCTGGCATCCAGACGGCCCAAGAGGCCTCCAGAATGGCCCTAGAGGCCTCCAAGATGCCCCAAGAGGCCTCCAAGAGCACTCCCAAGAGAACCCGCAAAAGCAAAATTCATTGCTTCTCCTTAGGTTTTGGACAGATTTAGGCGTTTCCATCTTTTCGGCTTCCCGACGCCCCTAGACGGCTCAAGAGGCCCCCAAGATCGCCCCAAGAGGGCCCAAGAGGCCCCCAAGAGGGCCCCAAGACAGCCAAAGACGGCCCAAGAGGGCTCCAAGACGGCCCAAGAAGCCCCCAAGACGGCCCAAGAGGGCCCAAAGAATGCCTCAAGAGGGGCCTCAGAAAGGGAACACGAAACAACATCTCGAACTTTCGGCCCTTAGAGGCCCCCAGGAATCCCCAATATGCTCCCAAGAAGCCCCAACAGGCCCCCAAGACGCCCCCAAGACGGCCGCAGGAAGTCCCCAAGAGGC